CTATAATATTTCAGTAATCTACCTTCGGAAATTTTTAGGGGAATCGGCTTATCCCTCTTGGATCCACCCAAGTCCACAGATTCACAGTAATTGGTTTTTTCTTATAGGAGTACTAAACTAGGATAACTAGATAAGTAGTGTGTTGGGGTGTCACGTAGGGGTGATAATCGAGTACTTGGATTGTTTAAGAATCGTGTAAGTTCACTTTCCAAATTGATATTTCTCCCCTATGCCTGGTTACAAGAAATTCAATCTAGGATAATCCTTAAAGAAACTCTACAACTTAGGCACAAGAACTAGAGTCAAACTAGTGAGTGTATGGACTGTTTTGCTTTAACTTGAGTTCCAAAGTGATGAAGATGTGTTGGATATGATTTCTCTACCTCCTCTGTACAAAATATGGTGATATATATCCATATTAACCGTCCTAGGCAGTTGCAACACGTTTAAGAATAACTGTGGCAGTTTTTGGAAAACTGCTCAAAACTGCCCAACCGTTCTAGAACTCGGTCTAGAACCACAGAGCTGGTCTACTGAAAGTTATACCTCGAGTTCTACCTCGAGTTCCACTAATGTAGACAATTTGGAATTAAACTAGTTCTTATACACAAGTGTGCACTCCACACCTACTAACTTGTATTAGATCATAGTTCTAATCCGCATTGACACTCATATCATTTCCAATTACCAAGCTCTTACATATAAACTCAGCTTTCATATATTCATATTCATATTCATATTCATATTCATATTCATATTCATATTCATATTCATATTCATATTCATATTCATATTCATATTCATATTCATATTCATATTCATATTCATATTCATATTCATATTCATATTCATATTCATATTCATATTCATATTCATATTCATATTCATATTCATATTCTCACTGTTTTCAGGGCTTCCAACCACTGAGTTCTAGATGATGGGCCGAGCTATGGAGTCATGTTAGGACCCAATCCCTTGAAATTTAAAAAATGTTTTAAATGTTAGTTTTTCAACTGCAAATGCTCTGTCATTCTTTGTACAAGCTCCTGCAGAGAAAGGATTTGCTAGTTTTGCAATTGACTTTATCAGGAATGGTGTTTCAACTGATGTTTCAAAGACTGTGTATGTCCTTATTGAGCTTGTTAAACTATTGATTCAATACCAGGATAGGCTCTCTGAGCTTTACAAAGGCATTGGTGGAATGGTGGCTGCTTCAGTTGAACCATTCGGGATGATGGATTTGCTACACTATGGAGAGGAAACACTACAAATTTTATCTGTACTTGCCCACACAGGTCCCCTCTATTTTCTCATTTTTGCTTTGTTATGGAATTACTAGCAAATACATTTTTTTTTTCTAAGCATAATAACCATAGGCTTCTTCCTCTATAGGCCTTGAACTTTTCATTCGAGTATTTCAAGAGGCTCTTCAACTTCAAGAAGGACCGTTATGGCTACTGAAAATGGTTTACTGGAAAATTCACTTTAGGTGGTGTTGTTTGTGCCCCTTTGATACTTTTTGTAGACTAATCGGACTATGGGTTGTACCCGCTTGGCCGACGATGCCAAGGCGCAAAGAAGGGAGGTGAGAGGCAATCCAATGGGTTGGTTGATGTCTACAAGAAGACACTTGCCACTGATGGTGTTGCTAGACTTTATCATTGATTCAACATTTCCTGTGTGGGATTTATTGTCTATTGTGGTCTGTACTGTAGACTGTATGACTCCATCAAGCGAGTTGTTTTCATGAGGGAGAGCTTAGAAGTTTGTTCTTCCATGTTTTGACTCCTTTATTTTCATTTTGAGCCAGTTCAGTAAGGGCCATCCAAGGCAGATTTATGCTCAAGTCTACTGAAAGGAATGTCTTTTTGTAAGGAAAATATGCTCAGTTTAGAAACAAGTAAGCTAATTAGCTCTAATTATTCTGATTCAGGCTACCTACCCAAACAAGATATTGTTGTCCAATTCGTGTCCCCCTTCATCCCAAACTCCGAATGTAAGATACATTTAGGTTTGGCATAAGTTTAAAGAGAACCAAGGAGATAATTATTTTTTACAATTTAAACTCCTAAAAGGGAAAAAAAATTGTGTGACTCCCAAAAAATATAAGGTGAAGTAACATTTGAAAAATAACGTGAGAGTATAAAAAGAACAGAACATAATGTGTGCATAGAGGAGAGGCAAAAAAGGGACGTGCAACTAACAAATTGTGACGGAGGCAAAGTGCGACATGATGATAATAATATGTGAAATTATTTCTCTCTTCTCTCGAGTACTTCTATAATCTTACATATTCTACCAATCTATTTTTGGTTTCACGGTAGATCATTTGCTAGATTAAGGATTGTTTGGCTCATTACAAATGGTGTTGGGCTTGCCTCTTTCCCAATTGACACAGTAGCCAAATCTGTTCAAGGGAGCTAATTGTCGGGACCTTTTCAAGCTGACTTGGCTATTGCGAGGGGCAGAAAGGAGTTAAGACCGCACGTGAGCCTTTTAAGTGAACAAGTTCGTGACTCGGTGCTAACATCTTGCGTGACATTGCTGGTGCTGGTTTCTTGGTCGGGTTCGATAAGCTTGGGGTTATTGTGTTCGGAAAGAAGTATGGTTCGAATGGAGCATCACAAGCCTCCTCCTAAGGCATTGCTTATTGCAATGTCAGTGAGGCTATCACTTTAGTTTAGGTTCGAGCAATATTTTGAATTATGTATGGGTGGGATTTGTGTGCCCCAAACATCTATGCATGCATCTCCTTTCTTTGCGAGGGTCCTTAATTAGGTCCTTTGTTTTTGCAGACTTGAGAAAATAGAGAGACTACATAATTGTCTAATTTGATTTTAATTTGATCTAACGGGCTAAAACTTATAATAGTATATATTTAGTTTGTGGTGACTTTAATCCCACACATGGCACTTTCGCTTTAACACCTACCTCTTGTTATGTACCTTCCAAAATGTTCACAATGTTTACTTTTTACATCAAATCTTTGAAACAAGATTCACATCTTTCATCAATGTTTTAGTGAAAAAATTATAAATTTTTTCGTATCAATAAAAGAGTGTATATACATGTATATAGAACTACACTATTATTATATTCAACTGCAAGTATTGCATTTAACAATAAAGGATTACACAAACAAATAAGGGAGTGTCTGTGATTGCTTCCATTTAAAATAAGTGATTTTCTAAAGGGGTGTTAGAGAAAATGTTTGACAATAAAAGTTGATGGCGCTTGATAAAAAATGATTTAGAAAAAGTAAATGGAGATAATATTTGTTAAATAAACACTTGCTTACATCTTTTAGATTTTAAATGCTTGATTCAGCAGATAATGTCAATTAAAAACATCAATTTCAACTATTTTTAAGCAAAAAGTTGAAAGGCATTAACTTAATTTTCTTACACACACCCCAAATCTTCCATCTTGCGGTTGAAAGCAGATACGAAGCATGTTTTGAGTGATTCCACATTTCCACCCGTGTTTAGATGGAGAATTTGATAGCCATAGAATTTCAACCTTGTGGTAGCAAGTGGGAGGAATTCTACGAAACATATTCTAAAATCGAATTACATATTCTAAAACCTCAAATTAAAAATTTCTTATATTGTACACATCAATTAAGTTAGTTTATTGACACCAAAAAGGGAAAGGAAAAATAAAACTAGTGATAGTATTAACGAACAAAAGAATCATGAGTGTCGAAAAACAATGAACTATGAAATGTAATCATAATATTTGGTTCATGTGAAACATTAATGATTAATATATATGAGATTCATAAATGCAAGTCGACTCCTTTTTTCATTAACCCTCTTCACCATATGGTTTCCTATTAAAAAGAAGGGAAGGGGAAAAGATGAGGGGACGACAGGAAAACAAGGAAAAAAATGAAACCATGTGTAATTATTATGATTTTAGTTCAAAAAACAACTCTGTAGATTTTTAAAAATGACCTACTTGTTGTCCCGTAAAAGGGTTGAGTATTTAGAATATGAAAAGAAATTGTGATAAATATTACTAAAATAAATGTAATGACTACAATTGCAACTAGTGATCATGATGATGTTGAAATTACTCTCTACATAATAGTGATAGTGACAATATACTACTTGAATCAAACCTTTATTCATAAATTCTACTTCGTACCGTTCATTAATATATAAGCAAACAATTTTATATAAATGCCTATTTATAGTCCTATACACGAGACAATTTTCCCAAGTATTAATGACTCATTAGCACCACATGCATTATTAGTGAGTATAATTTTAGTTTATGAAATATGTGAGAAATTGGCGGAATTTGTTGATTCTGCTGATATTTATGAAGTTTTGACTGAAATGATTGTATTGGCTGATTCTGCTGGTTTTTCAAAAAAAAAATAAATTATATTTTATTAATAAAATATACTCCCTCCGCTTTTTAATAAACTTCACACTTTTCTTTTTGGGACGGTCTAAAATAAACTTCGAACATCCTTATTTCCTTTTTGGCAAAGAAATCTACATCAAAACAGTGTCAAACAGTGCCAAACAGTGTCTCAACAGTGCCAAACAGTGTCAAACAGTGCCTCAACAGTGTACTCTACAGTAAAGTCAAATTTATTTTCTTAATTTGTGTGAAGTGAAAGTGTGAAGATTAAATAAAACCGAAGGTAGTAAAAATTAAATGAAAATATAACTAAAATGATCTTTGTACAATAATATCAGCTAATACAATAAAAAAAGTAACTATTTCCTTACTTTTTTTTATTATTACATAGTTGAACACGTGACATAAAAAATTATATGTTTAATGAAAGAAGTGAATATTAAGTCTGATAAACTAAAAAAACATGATTACCAAACCCGCTTTATATCTTAAAATTGTTTGGTCACAACTCCATCAAGTAGAGGCGTCGTGAATTGTGGTTATTACAAACAGATATCCTATTGGAATATTGGATCTTCTAGCATATGATTCCTCGCATATTTTCCTATATGCTTTCAAATCCCAATCCGACGGTCCACATTTCTACTCCCTCACTTTTCTATCCCCATAAATTCCATCTCCTCATTTCACAACCCTGTAATTCAGTGGCCTGCAATGGAAACACAAATGATTTCCTCAGCATCTTTGCTCGAAGCTCTAGCTTTCACCAATCCGAGCTATGGCTTTCTAACGGCGGTTAAAAGCATCTGGGCTTGGGCCGCCGTCCTGACCGTTTTCATGGGCCTCTGGAAGATCAAATCGTCACCCAAATCTCCCAATGGGTCGTTGGAGCTTCCGGATCCTCCTCGGAATGTCGCGCTCTCTCCGCCGTGGCCGGTTGCGAGGCTGCCAGCCGAGCCGCCGCCGCCTGGTACCGGTCTCTGTACGGTGGGCTTGACGAAAGGGAAGTTCACGGCGTATTTTGACGGCGAGGAGGAGAGCGATGACGGCGGCATTGATGACGGCATTTACACGTGTAAGGGAAAACGAGGGGACGGCGTCGTTTTGGCAAGGGGGTTAGGTGACGAGTGGTACGAGAGTTGGCAGAGGGCATTGAAAACGAAAACCGGAGGTGCGGGTTGGTACTGTAACCAGGATTTAACGGTGATTAACGGCAACGTGGTGAGACTGTGGGGCAGCGGTTGTAGACGGCGGCGCGCCGCCGCATGCGTCGGCGTAGGATGCGTTGCTTCGTGGTAACTTAGAGATGGTAGAGCAAGAAAAAATAATGTCGTTGCGTGTTGGTACGGTAACCAGGATTTAACGGTTATTAACGGCAACATTGCCGGATCAGGAAGGATTTAAAACAATTGTACATAGTAGTAATAATAATTTTGGTGTAAGTTGTAAAAATAATAGTTCCAGAGTTTTACTGATTACGATTGTTTGTGAGTAATCAATTTGCAAGTTATGTTTGTAATACTAAGTTAATTACAATTAAGTCTTACTGCAACTTTTAACCGTTCCCTTTTAATTGCAACAGTCCACATTTCAGATTTGCCAACATACAAATTTGACCATTAATATCTTTCATTCCTTATTAGTAAAAAATTTTAAAAAATCATATTTTGAAAATTTAGAATGAGAAGAATTTAACAATATTTTTAAAAAAATTAATTTATAATACATTAATTAATAAAATATAGTCAAGGTAGAATATGTGAATAGTGCAAAAAGTCCAATGTTGCAATTAAAAGAGAACGGATGTAGTATTAATAGGGAGTAATTAAATTTTACATACTAAGATACTCTATCAAAGTTTATTGAATAAAATTGAAAGAAAATATGAATGCAAATGCTGAAATGCATAACAATATGCAGACTTCTTTTTAACTTGATCACAACTTCACATGAATGGTAAAATAAGAAATTGCTATAAATAAGAGTAAAACATAGAGATATAAAGCCCGTTTGAACCTTATTTTCAGCTTATAAGTCAACTTTTTCACCAAACACGTAAGTTTTGATTCTGCACGTTGAATTGTGTAATAATAAGAAAAATTAAGGTTGTAGTTATTTTTCTGGCTGTATTAGTTGAAGTTATTGTAGATTATCAATTTAACTATTTTTCTTTATTTATTAATAAAAACCATTTTAAATATAACTATTTTCATAGAATCAGTCAATCCAACCACCTCAAGTAGAACTTCATAAATTTCAGCAGAATCAGTCAATTCCAATTTCATTCGTTATTAGTAGCGCACAGATCAATCAACTAGTTTTCTATTAAAAGAAGCTCAATAGTTCATATTTTCTTTGCACCATCATTTTGGATTCAATTTAATATAATGGAAAATAACTTTAGATAATATTACCTCCATCCCACTAACATTAAGATGAGGAAGTGATGCAGTTATTAAGTAAAGTGAGTTTATGTAGTTGATATTGAATTGATAAAGTAAGAATAAAGTAGGAATTATTAGAACCACACAAATTTTACCAAATTTAATATAAGATGATTTTAATGAAACATGCAGAAAGGAAAATGTAAAACAATTTTAGTGGAAGGGAATATTAGCTACTAATGAATGATTCATATTATAGATATAAACCGTTGCAGACCTTAATTACTCAAGTACATGGCCATTTTTGACAAGATCACACTGGATTTTCTAAAATAGAATTCTAAAAGTTCGGACCTTCGAAATGAGGTCTGTTAATATTTTTTTTATTATGAAAAAATGGCCAAAGAAACTTTCAAAATCAACATCACGTAATTAAGTAGAAATGAGAAGACAAATGTATGCACTTTAAAGATGTTTTTACTTGAACTAGAATTTTGTGGTCTTGTCTGATCGGTCTAGTCTAGTCTGAACTGGTAAATGTCTGATCTTTGTGTATTTTATAATTGTCCTAATTTGGTCTGGTATGATATGGTCTGGCCGGTCTAATCTCGTTTGGTCCCACTTCCTTAATCTTTGAGCCCAAAACAAATGGGATCATCAAATTGGGACGGAGGGAGTATTACCTTGTGTATTTTTTTGCATATTCAATATCTGAATTTTTTAGCTTTCTTTTCAATTACGAAAAAACATCACATCCCTAGATAACGAAGTAAATTACCTCTTTCAAGTTTCAATCAAGTATTATTTGCCATACTAGTACATAAATTCGTTCGAGATTAAAATCGACTTTTGTCTATGAGTTGTGTAACCCTAAGAATTGATTATCGATGTTGTATATTTTACCATTTATACAAATGAGTCTCAATCTAACAATTAAAATAACGTCTCTCAGACTCTCAACAACATTAGACGCCTCTATTTACATACATAATGAAAATGATACGAAGCAGATTTCTGGCTTAAAACCCTATCGCTCTCTCATCAAAGAATGAAAATCAAACCATTAAAAAGTTTTGTTTGATGATTTGGTATGAATTTACAATGGTTTGAATAACCAAATTTAATGTTAAAAAATGATCGTGTGTCATTTTTTTGGGTCCAATTTTAGGTAATTTGGTGAAAATGCCTATGTGTAATGTATATAATACGTAGTACTACGTACTACATACTTTGCAAAAAACGAACGTAGTACTAAAGTATCACTATTGGTTGACGATATGATAATAATTTATATTGTTGAAATATATATATTTCTTTGTTTAATGATATCCCCAGTCATCATTAATTACTTCTAATGATCATTTCTTGCTCCATGTCATCTTGTGTAAACAACATTTAAAGGGTATTATTCAACAACATATGTAATCATTATATTCGTACAAGAATGTTGTGACTTGTGCATGCACCTATTAAGGATAAAAATGGTTAGTTGACAATTTTGCACACAATGAATAAATTAGTTGACACATTTATATTCGTTTGGTAAAAACGTTGGCAGAAAGTTGACAATAACTTAAACAACAAATTAAATCGAATCCAAAGTGACAAAGTAGCCGAATGCCCGAATGCATGCATATCATATATTTTCTTTGTTTCCCATAAGATTGTTTTTTGTTCAAATAGATCTATCTTTTGATGTCTGAGTGTGTACTTGGGGTGATTTTATATTTTGATGTAGTGTAAAACTGATAAAGTTAATTGTTACTAAACGCTATAAGATCATTCAATCTAGGCTAATAGGAAGTAGGTGAACCAAGATGATACAAATGCATAATAAAAAAGAATGTTAGGCAAATGAGGTAAAATGTTAGGCAATTGTTAAACAGTCCAATGTTTTTACTTGGACTGTTTTAAGTTTCAGATCAAATCAGACTTGGATAGTTATAAAATCCATAGAGATCAGACATTTACCAGACCAAATCAATTCAGACCAGAAGAGAAAATTCCAGTCCAAGTAAAAACATCCAAAGAGGAATAGCACTGATACTACAATAATTCTGCAAGGTCCTATGACATAATCCACCAAAGGAGTCGTCCACATCACAATTTGACCAAGAACAACGCCTTCAAGGTAGGATGACAAAAGTAATACAGAGTACTCAACTTGAGTAACATCATACCATTTATTAAAAGATCAAAAGGCTAAAATCATAATCATAATGGAAGCCCAAACTTGTACCAACGCAATCTACAGTACACGATATCTGCATAATACCAGCCACCTCAACCAAATAGCTAGCAAGCCAGTACCGGTCTTATTCCAAAGTCAGTCCTGGTCCGGTTTTGTAGCCTATTTTTCATATCCAAATAAGTACTACAAGTATACGTAGTATAACAAATAACGGGACCCGAACCGGTCCAGTCTAACTTTGGAGGACCTAGAACTGCATCCAAGTTGGGCCAGTCCCAAGTGCCTGTTCCAGTCCGGTACCAACTAAAAGAATTCTTCTTCTTGTGGTTCACCTACCTGGCTACCTGGTTCTGGAACCAGGTAAACTCCTATTCAGTATTCACGTCATACTATCGCACTAATAATCTCCCACAAATAGTCATGGACCCAGGCCGGACCGGTTCCGGTTCGGGTCTGGGCCTGGCCGGGCTTTTCTTTTTGGGAAGGAAGAACCGGAACCGGCCCGGGTAGGCAGCGGTTCCAGGTCGGGCCAAGCCGGTTCATGTTATTTTTTTTTTATTTTCTTTTGCTTTTGTAATTAACCCCCTCACCCCCCCTCACCCCCCCAAATACCCAGACCAACCCGGGAGAAACGAAAAAAATTGAAAAAAAAAAAAAAATAGGTCGGGCCGGTTCCGGGCCGGTTCCACTTTTAGGAGGCCTGAGCCCGCCCCGTTTAACTCCCGGTTCCGGGTGGCCCGGACCGGTCCTATGACCGGGGTACCAGGCCGAGCCGGGCACAAACAGTACTAGGGGTGGACTCGGGCCGGTTCGGGCCCGGCCGGGCCTCGGGCCAGAAAACTAGGGCCCCGGCCCGAACCGCCGGTTGGCGGTTCCGGTTCCGGTTCCGGGCCAAACCGGGCCGGGCCGGGCCGGGCCAACCGGTCTATTTTTTTTTTTTTGGTTCTCCTTTTTAACCCCCTACCCCTCCCCCTCAACCCCAAACCACCCCAAACCACCTCAAATGGCCCAAAATACCTAATCCAACCCAAAACTTTAAAAAAATTCAAAAAAAAAAAAAATTAAAATCCGGCCCGGACCGGGCCCGAACCGGCCGGGCCGGTTCACCAAAATCAGGGCCCGAGCCCGAACCGCCATCCCACCGGGCCGGGTGGCCCGAACCGGTGCACCAACCGGTTGACCGGGCCGGTCCGGGCCCGCACAGTAGCGGGCCGGTCCGGTTCCGGGCAGGTCCGGTTCCGGGCCGGTTGGCCCGGCCCGAGTCCACCCCTAAACAGTACCGGTTCCGGGCCGGGCGGCCCGACCCGAGTCCATGACTACTCACAAACATAACTAGCCCAGTGTTCTTAAGTTATTGTGCATTCCCTGTTCCATCGCTTTTATGATTAAAATAACAATTCACTTTCGGTCTTTTGTTAAAATTAGTTGTACTTTTACGGTTTTACTACCGTTTCTACATAAAGGGTCGTTGATCAAACAGGGAATCATTCACTGTAACAAACACCAATGAGTGAAACCTTCAGTTTGAATTAGATAGCTGCCTTTCTATATTCAAGCTTGTAAATTCAGAGCACAAAATCAATTTACAACGCCTATTTCCCACATATGAAAGTATTCATCTGAAAGCCCCGCTTTAAGTAATTTTTACAAAAGTGGCTCGGAGCAACTCTAACAAGCTATGTCCCCAATTTTTTGACATCCTAAACGGCTAAAAAGTGAGGAAGAACTTGAGCCAAAGAGAAGCAACTTTTACACAAAATGTTCAATAGATGAAGCATTAGGTACATTTTACATTCCTCTTGAAAGGCAAGTATAGTACATGCAATTACTCATAATTTGAGACCAATTTATCAGTGTGAACCTGAAAAAATAAAAAGAAAATGATTAACAGCATTAAATGGATGAAGCAATCTTCCCAAAAACAATTGTTTACTACTTGTAAGGTGCAAACAAGATGGATGAGTTTTGACCACCAACAAAGCTACCTTAATATCCAGTTGCTCCTTTTCAGAGCCTACAAGGAACTGTTGTATCCTGTTTTGTTGCAAGACGCTTTTAATTGCACTATTAGGAGTGTAGTAGAACCTTGCACTCTTAAGAGTGTAGTAGATCCTTGCACTCCTAGGAGTTTAGAACCTTGTAAGTGCTAAGTAGCCAGGTGAAAAATGTATTGTGCAAAACAGGCAAGAATGTTTTCTCATTGCATCACAAGACAAATTTACAAGAAACCATATAGAATATGGACGATAGTGCAGAAAGGTACATAGTGGAAATAAGAATTGCTCCGTATTTCCACTGCAGTAACAGAAATTATATAGGAACATTTAAAGAATTATTACAGTAACTGCAATTATATAGGAACCTGAACAGTTCGACAGCCTCTACAGCACCAGCTCCTCCCAGAAGATGACCATTCATAGATTTTGTAGAGTTTATCCGCAACTACATGAAAATATGAAATAAATAAAAGCGTCACATATGTGGCTACGAGAATATACATTTGCATACAAGAAAAAAGAAGAGAATTTTAATAGACTAAAAAACTAAATATATCTAATTAGCAAACCTTCAGGTTCTGATCAAAACCACGAAGAAGGGCTAGGAGCTCCTTGAGATCACCAGCTTGGGTCAAGATGACATGCACATTTAATCATTTCTATATTTAACATTATCCCGGCAATCCCCAGGTTTAGGTAGGGCCTTCCCAGGTAGGGCCTTCCCTACAGGCCTACACACAGAAAAACGTCCTTGCCGGCAAATAAATAAACAGAATTCCATTTATTTTCTTCATGACTCAACTTCATTCCAGATGAGCTAAAATGCGGAATAAGGATGTTTTGTATTGGACTATAATTTTCTGTTCTAGTCTGGTCTGTTTAACTGGTCTAGTCTGGTAGATGTCTGTTCAATGTGTATTTTACGACTGTCAAAGGTTGGCCTGGTTTAGTTTGTTCTGGGACTGAAACCAGTCCAATTAAAAACAGCCCAAGTGCTAAAAGCTAGAGTGCATTTGGGATGGCTTATTTTCAAGGGTAAGTGCTTTTACATGAAGAGTGATAGGGACCTGGGCACTACAAATAATAAGAATCCATTTAAGTGTTTTAATGTTGTTTAATGTTAGGGTTCTAGGCCCAATAACTTAATTAAGGGCCAGCCCTTTTAGGAGGGTTTTATTAATAATAGGGGGAATCAAGCTTGGGGGGAATGGCCTAAATAAATGTGGAAGCTGAACAGGTTGAGCTGGAGAAAGGAAATAAAAGGGTGGTCTAAATAAATGTGGAAGCTGGACAGGCTGGAGAAAGGAAATAAAAGGCAAACAGATGAGTCAGGAAAAGGAGGCTGGGATTTGGGAAAATTGGGGGATCTGGGAGAGATCGAGGCCCTCTCGAATTGGTCTCGGCTGTATTCTTCTTATTTTCTACGATTTCAATAATATTTTCCACACCAATTCTCTGTGTCGTATCATTGGTATCAGAGCTTCGATCACTGTACCTGTGTATGGTATTCACTCGGTCAAACATGGAACAAAGGATTGAAAGTTTGGAGAGATCACTGGAGCGTTCAAAGGAAGAGATGCGAACAGAGATGCGAGCCTTGCTTGACGAGAAAGTGCAGTTGTTGCTGGAGAAGATGCAAAGTCTCGAAGCTAAGGGTAGTCGCAGCAGAAGAAGGGGACGATCGAGGAACCCTAGATGCCGTTGGAAGTCTGAGAACCATGTCTCATCATCGTCGCAAACTTCGTCTCCAGCAGAAGGTCCCTATCCGCAGGCTTCCTCACTCACCGATACTCGCAGTTCTTCTTCGCAAGCGGCTTCGTCCAGTTCCCAGTTGTTGCAAATCACTCCTTGCAGAACCCTGGACCACGTTAATTCCGAAAATGGATTGCAGGGAATTCCTCCTACAACATTGAACAAGGAGTTGAAGACAGATGCACCATCAGTCCAGGAGCTGGATCCCGAAGACGATACGACTCCACCTACAGGAACTCTACCTGATCAGCAGGAGTATTTGAGACTGCAAGAGGTGGAAGACAAGGAAATTAGTCCAGGATTATTAGGTGCTATGCGCCTTGTGGACTGCTTGTCTCAGGAACATGCATTTGGAAGACATCAGTTGCCAAGAGTTATTGTAGACGTAGACGCTGGCACAGGAACTACTGCCATTGGCTTAGGACTTGGAGTTGTTTTCCTAGTACTTCCGTGGCAAGTAACTACAGACATGCTAGCAGACACTTTTGAGGGGTATAGAAGAGAGGATGAAAGTCTATTATTTGAAATTAGTTTGACTTCTAATTTTTCTAATCCTGACCAGTTCTTGAGGAAAGGTCACGATGCCATCGTTCAATGGGTAAAATGTCTTGATCCAAGAAAAGTTGACAGTGTGTTGAGAGGTGAAATGAAGATATATTCAATAATTACCCGAGAGAGAGGTATTCTGGTTGATCCTGTACACACTCTAGCCGCCTGGAAGTCTGCTATGCAACTTTGTTACAATGAAAGTTCCAAGGCAGCCGTGATGCATCACACAGGAAGAACACTTGGTGATGATGAAGCTGACTTTGTATTCTCAGTTATGGGTTCTGTAAGAGATGAGACATGGGGCATTGAAAGAGATAAAAACCTTGACAAAAAGGATCACTGTGTTGACATAGATAACGAGAGGTTGCCAAAAAGAAGAAAACTATCCAAGCTGAAGTACTGGGAAGGAAGAGGCGCGAGGATGAAGCTGAATGGCATGACTGTATCTTACTCCCCACCTTGAGGACAAGGTGGATGTCAAAGGGGGGAGTGATGATAGGGACCTGGGCACTACAAATAATAAGAATCCATTTAAGTGTTTTAATGTTGTTTAATGTTAGGGTTCTAGGCCCAATAACTTAATTAAGGGCCAGCCCTTTTAGGAGGGTTTTATTAATAATAGGGGGAATCAAGCTTGGGGGGAATGGCCTAAATAAATGTGGAAGCTGAACAGGTTGAGCTGGAGAAAGGAAATAAAAGGGTGGTCTAAATAAATGTGGAAGCTGGACAGGCTGGAGAAAGGAAATAAAAGGCAAACAGATGAGTCAGGAAAAGGAGGCTGGGATTTGGGAAAATTGGGGGATCTGGGAGAGATCGAGGCCCTCTCGAATTGGTCTCGGCTGTATTCTTCTTATTTTCTACGATTTCAATAATATTTTCCACACCAATTCTCTGTGTCGTATCAAAGAGAATAAGAGATGTACTAAGCATCTGGAAAAGGAAAAGATGATCTATCATTAAACAAGCACTTATAATGCTTACCTAACTAAGAAAGCAGCAATTTGAATCTTTTACTGAAAATCACTTCAATTTCTTAGATGAGAAAGCACTTTCCAACAATGCACTTATATTATAAGTTACCCGAAAAGGCACTTGGATAGTAGAAAAACAACTTAGACTCTCTCTGGATGGGCTTTTGCTAAGGTTCATAAGTGCTTCCAGAAGTATAAAAGCACTATTACGGCAAAAAAAGATATTTTGGTAACCATATTTTAGTTCCATTGAGAAGTCAAAATCACTAAGAAGTGCTTCAGAAATAAAAACTTGAGAGGAACTTCTTGTTTTAGAACATGGGAGACTTACCAGTAGGTGTAATTACTGAATCAGATCCACCACAAAGCATCACACATTCACACCCTGCAATTCTTAGAGCATTAAGAAAATATAATATCCAATCCTTCATTGGTTCAAAAAGTGATAGGTAATACCAGTAAATGCTTATGTCATATGCTTACTTACAGTGTCACCTTTGATGATGTGGTTCCCAGCATTAACAATGCATAAGTTACCCATTTCACATGCAGTCGAGATTGAATAGTTTGGACCCGTCCAGCCCTGGATGTAAAATTTATAAACACTTAAGAACCCGATCACTTGGTGCAGGTTGAACAATCAGTTGATAACGCTTTTAGAAAGTTGTTTGAGTTAGCTAAAAGCCTGGTGAAGGAGGAATGCTGAGGCGGCTAATTCCGATCTCTCTATGGTCATTTCCTTCTTTGCCCCATAACTCTCTTGTTCCATATGCTTCTTTCCACATTCCTGCTGTTGCATAGACATTTGATAATGCAATACAAGTCCTTGAAATATGCTTTTCATCATTTTCCAATAACTTCTGTGCTACTTCTTTTCCAATTCCTACGTTCCCGTACAATTGACAAGCCCCAAGTAGTGCAGCCCAAATGGCATCAGGAAAAGGCCAATTGTCCTGCAGCTCAATTCCATTTAACAAAAGCCATGCCTCTTCAAGCCTTCCATTTCTCCCCAACATATCAATTAAGCATGTATAATGATCTTCCTCTGGTGTCAATCCATACTTCTTCATCTCCTTGAAGTATTGCAGTCCCTCATCCACCATACCACAATGACAGCAAGCAGTTAATATTGCGACAAATGTCACAGCATTAGGTTTGATGCCATTATCGAGCATTTTCTGGAAGATATCAAGGGCTTGGAAACCATATCCATGAGCTGCAAAACCTGTGAGTATAGACGTCCATGCGACAATGTTTTTGAGTTCCATTGAGTCAAAAACTCTAAGAGCATGGTGCAAATTACCCGACCGTGAATACATTTCTAATAAAGCTGTTCCAACCACCAAATCACTTCTAGCATCAAAATCGGGCAAACTACGGATGATTTTTGCATGGATCTGCTTCCCCTTTTCCAAATCTGTCAAACGGGTGCATGCTTCCATGCTTACTACAAAAGTCAAGCTGTTCCCAATAACTCCATATCCTTCTTCAGAGCAATACATTTTAGCCAGTAAGTTCAGTCCTTCTTGGGGCATGTCATTCTTTACAAACCCTGTGATCATGCTAGTCCATGAAACAACATCTTTCTCAGGCATAACCTCAAACAGCACACTAGCAGCCTCAACAAGGCCATTGTGTATGTAACCAGAGATTAATGTATTCCAGAGTGAAATGTGTTGTTCCCACGGCCATGTTTCAAAAACTTTCCTGCCATCCGCAACATCACCGCACTTGCAATACATGTCAATTAACGTGCAACCAATTATCGTCCCATTCTCCTCTAATGACTTGAGAATCTTATATGAATTTACAAGAACAATAAAGAGGCCGTGGACTTGCTTCCCAACTCTGACTAGCGATAACTTTGTACACGTAGTTAATAGAGGCACAAAAATTGTATAATCAGTGTTCACAATTTCAACTACATTGTCCAGAGAGCATACGTATCTAAATGCAGCAATATAGCTGCAGTTTAAAACATAACCCCTTATGCTTAAAAGCTTTGAAACAGTGTCATTATGGAAAAAATCCACAAGTTTACTGGCACAAAGAATTCTACCACATGAAAAATACATATTGGCAATGGAATTAGCACAATTTTCTTCAAATCCTCCTACAACAGCGTATCCATGAACTTGCATACCCAAAACAAGATCTTGGTTGTGTGCACTACAAGACAGCACAATTGAAATACTGTACTCATCTGGTGCATAGCATTCCCCACACTTCATCTGATAAAACAACTTTGACCCAAGAGTCTCCATTGAATTTTGCATGTGCGCAGACAACATAGCATTCCAAGTCACCAGGTTTCTGTAAGGCATCTCCCCAAACAACTGCCATGCAAAGTGTACAGCCCCACACTTAGAATACATATCAAGAAAAGCAGTTTCAACAACAACTTTTCCAAGCAAATTTCCGGATTTCACTATAAAAGCATGAAGACATTGTCCAAATGAGAGGTGTTGTGGAGCAGATGCAATGGCACGGGCAGCAGCAGTGATGACAAAGTGGTTAGGTCGAGCATCTAAATCTGGTTTGGTTTGATGGAGCATGAGGGAGAAGAGATGGAGAGCATTGTCAGGTTGATTGTGACGAGCATAAGCAGCTATGAGAGAGGTCCATAATGGTGGGTCTTTAAAAGGTACTTCATCAAACAGTTGGTGTGCGTGACTCAAGGAGTTGGCAAACCCTGAGGACAAATAGCCACTAATGAGTCTCGTGGCCCATAGAGCATTAGTGTTAAGTCCAAGCTTGATTAAATGGCTATGCCTGTACATTCACAATTTCAACAAAACCCTTTTCTGTTACGATCATTACTTCCCAACTATACTAGCCAAGGCTCCTGGTGGCTTAATGAAAGCAGTGATTCATTTTTATTTTTGTTTTTTCCATGGACAGCACCTAAAGCAGCCCATGACTGCAGCACCTATGACATAAAGGAAATGGAAAAAAATATTAGAAAGTACAACTCGTCCAATGACACAAATACAAAAAATCATCTTCAGATTATTTTAGGATAATTTTATACATTTAAGGACACAGTAGTAAGCCGACCCCAAAATCTTTTGGGAATAAGGCTTTGATGTTATTGTTGCAAGGACATAGTCACATAGTTAGCAAGTCCATATCAGATGGTACATGTGATGATTCTAACCCAAAACCAAAATAGTATATAATTGTTCTGATGGACATTTACCACTATCACACAACAACAACAACAACAACAATCAAGCTTTAGTCCCAAAAGATTTTGGGGATTTACCACTCACACCATAGGAAAAAACAAAAGGGCAAGCCATGATCTATAGAAAAATATATTCAAACTTCTCCATGACTTTCCTACAAGCATACTTTGTAGATTCTAAGAACAATCACACTAAAATAGCTTGTAGGTAGCAAAAAGAGTAATTTAACTTCTGCATTTTTCTATCTTTCACCCAATATTACTCTCACTTCCTATGCTGTCTTTCATGTCTCACATTCTGTGCTAATCTATTTTGTATTTTAGCTTCTGCATTTTTCAACCTAACTTTCAGGACTTCAAAACACCAAACGCTGAAACAGGCACACCAAAATCTAAAGTTACTGCTCCCACCCATGCTCAATGCTTTCAACACACATTTCTTAACAAACCATCAAAAAAAAATAAAAGCAAGCAACACAATATGTTTAATGCACCAAATTGAACTAACTTAATTGAAACCCAACAAGACATGGATCCAAATGACAGAAAGGTATGATAATAAAGAAAATATGGAGAAAATGAGAAATAAAATAATCAAAGGCCATGTGGAAAAAGCTAAATATGTTTTTTCTAATTGTAGGGGAGGATCTGGCATTCCAGTTCAGTGGGGGCCAAAAATATAATAGGTACGGAGTATTAAATAACTTCAATTGCAACAAAAGTTAGTTTTTTTAAATAAATTCTAATTGTGCATGACGTTCGAATTTTAGGCTACATTTATTTCACACACTCGGTTCCGGTCCGGATTTGAACAGGTTTAGAGCATGTAAGTTCGAGCGGTATGTACTATGTACAATCAGAGCTTGGATTTCATACGTTATAGTCTAATGCCAAAACTACATCTTTCTCAGCAGAAATAATAAGTCTACTTATTAATATAAAATCTCCCAACTTGATTATATGGAGAATTTTTCTTATATTCTTGTCATTTAACTAATGTGTAGGTCTTCACTAATATAACGATATATCAAAGATCTCAGATCCGTCTAGGTAAAAATCAGGTCTACAAAACCAACCGAAAGCAGCAGACAATCCAAATCCAACCTAAACCTTTCTCATGGTGGTGACATAGGGATGTAAAAAACTACTGCATATAGGGGAGAAGGACCGAATTAGGAAGGCTGTAGAAAATAGGAACTATTATATATCCAATTAAATTGTGCTTGATCATGGAAACTAGATGTACAGTAAAATGGTAGAGTATATACAATTACACATACGAATATTCCTATTTAATTAAAAAGGATGAAGTAAAATGATCCTAAACAATTATGTAGTAATATTAGCATATCACTAATATGCCTTCAAATCAGGACGTGGCAGTTTCAAGACATTCAATGGTCTGTTAGTTCAAAACTTCACATGGAAACAGCACAGAATAGTGGTGGACTCGGGCCGGGTGGCCCGACCCGGGACCGGCCCGGGACCGGCACTGTTCCGACCCGGCCCGAACCGGTGGCCCGGTCAGTGACCGGTCCAGGTAGGCCCAACCCGAGGGGTTTCCAGTCCGGGCTCGGGTCACCCAAAACATGAACCGGTCCGGCCGGTCCGGGCCTGGTTCCGGGCTTTTTTTCAACTTTTTTTTTAAATCCCCGGGTTGGGCTGGGTATTTTGGGCCATTTGGGGTGGTTTGGGGGTTGGGGTTGGGGGGCGTCTGGGGTAATTACAAAAAGGAAAAAAAATGTAAGAGGCCCGAGGCCCGGCCCGGACCCGGTGGCTACCCGGGCCCAACATTTCCTAACCGGCGGCCCAGTCGGGCCTAGGCCTGGCTCGGGCCCGAACCGGCCTGAGTCCACCACTGGCATAGAATATACTGCTTTGGCACGTCATTATTAGAGAACAACTACTACTTCATCCAGTGGCGGAGTCAGAAATCTACGATTAAGGGGGCCGATTCTTTGGTCAGAGTTTAAAATATCAACATATTTTCTATAGATTAAAAGTATTTATACATAATATATATTTAAGAATTTTTTTCTTGGCGGGGCCCTCGGCCCCCTCCAGCCCCTCCCTGTCTCCACCCCTGACTTCATCTTCAATTGTCATAGATCAATATACAGTCCAACCGCAGTATTCATATCTGTCTTTCTCCGTAAAGTAAAATCCGCACTCTCATTTTGCATTTTCTTTGATCTTAAAAAAAGGATTTTAGATAAATTAAGTTTACAGCTTTAAACGAAAGAGAAATACTGAAACAGGTTTGTTGATTGAATACGTCAAGAAGAAAAACAGAATTGAGCATAAAGCTTAATGGCATTATGAAGCGCATTACCAGGCTGAGTATTGCGTAGTACGGCGGACGGAAAAAGAGGTAGGGGGACCGGGCGCGGTCGCCGGTATCATCTGTGACCGGTCGGTGGAGCGGTGGCCGGTCGGTGGAGCGCAACGGTGTCCGTCATCTCTGTGACTGTAGTCTGTAGGTGCTGCGTTGATTAGAGGCGGAAGTCAGCAGAGGCAATCGGTGATTAGTTGGGCCGACGATTTTGTTGAAATTAGGCTTCAGAGTAAGAAAATCACTGTGGACCTGCCCCCCTGGCGCTAGGCCCGGTGAGTTTTGGCCAGATTATTTGCATGGCTTTGACGCCAGGTCCTGAATCCATGGAAAACTTTGATTTCAGTAGTTGGGTTTAGGAACTTAGGATCTGTTTTCCCTAACTAGTATTGTACCCGTGCGATGCACGGGAACAACTATTTTGCATATTAAAAAGCCAATCTCTTAACCTATTACATATATCATAAGTATACATATAGACATAATACTAATCTTCTTAACGAAACCAAATAAGTTACTTTCGTAGGTTGGGATGGGGTTATGACAAATTGAGATTATAAAATTGGAGGGGGGTGGGCCATTTGAGACATTTTTAATATAAGTTTATAAAAAAAATTAGGGAGTGTTTGCAAAAAAATTAAAAAAGTGTTTTCCGGCTTTTGACTTAAAAAAGCTGAAATTAGTGTTTTCAAGTGACAGCTTCTGCTTAAATTAAACACTTAAAAGCTAAAAGCTGGATGCAGGTTGAGAGGTGACCAAGCATTCCAACACAGCTGGTTGTGAGGTTATCGTGCCTAGTGGGAGGTCTCGAGTTCGAAACCTGCTAGGCACATAAGGGTTGGAAATTCAATGGAGCGAGTTTCAGCCGTGATTACTCCAGCCCCTCCCTCTGACCCCCTGGAGTAAAAAAAGCAGGTTAAGAGATGCTTTAAACTGTTTTTCATTTTTTTCTATTACACACGCATTTATTTTATCAAACACTACTAACTTTTACTTTTCAGAAGCAGTTTTCTTCAAACATTATCAATTTTTACTATTAAACATTTTTTCTAAAATGACTTTACAGAATCACTTTTTTAAAGTACAATCACTTCAATATATGCATTGAAGACACAAAATACTAATGAACACAACTACTGATACAAATTGTATATGAATCAAAATCGATATGAACCAAAAGAAAAACCAAACCACTAAGCACCAATTGTTTTAAAATAACAATTGAAATTTGAAATTTTCACTTATCTAACAATTGAATTGAAAGTGTTATTTTGTTTGCGAATTTTTTTCATGAAATTTTGAAATTTTGTTTGCGAATTTTTTCACAATTCAATTTTAAAATGAACACCACAAAAAAAAGCAATATTTGTACACCATCAAGCATTTAAGCCAAATGTTACTCTAAACACATAATACGTAATAATTAATAGTCCATTAAATGACCAAACAAAAATAAGCATTAGGATTTGCCACAACATGTATGGAGCTCATTTATAATGATTATTCACTCGCCCTTAAACATCTGGGTATTGTAAGGATGTTAGAGCATCACCATTCGTAATCTCTAAAAATCAATATACTCTATGATTCTTACCTTTTAAATATTGTTACATAATTAATTTTTAATTAATCTCAAAATCCGTTTATACATCTCAACCATCATCTTCAAATAATCCGCTTTTTTCTCAGCCATGCATTAACGTATTACATATACTTTTCAAATAATCTTAAAATAATCCGGATTCATATTTTGATCCCGGATTATTCTAGCAAATAATCTCATTAAATAATCAATGTCTCTCAATGATACTCCTCCAAAAAATCCGCCATGTCATCAATTTAATCTCTTAATAATTCTTCCAATGAGGATGCCCTTAGGGAGTATCTTACTTAGGGAGCTCTTTATTTTTATCTTTTTATTCATTCTTCGTTAGTTTTTAAATTTATATCCACATCATAGTGTATACAATGTTAAATTACTACCCATATTATATGTATAAGGAAATTCATTATTTGTACGTATTAATTATATCTTGTAGAACTTGACAATCACTTTTGACACCTGGATTTCTAAACTAAACACTACTCCGTACATGATATATAGGATGTTTTCTTTTGGACTGAAATTTGCTGGTCTGGTCTGGTCTGGTCTGGTCTAATAAACGTCGTCTGGTCTCTGTGTATTTTATAACTACGGAAGTCTGGTCTGGTCTGGGACTGAAAACAGTCCAAAAGAAAACATTCATAATACTAATCACATTTTTTTAATATTATGAGGGGTAGTTTAGTTACTTTCGTAAGAAGCAATTTCTAATAACAATTAAATAAGGATTTTTTAAAATTAGTTTGGTCAGATTTGGCCAGATTATTTGCATGGCTTTGACGCCAGGTCCTGAATCCATGGAAAACTTTGATTTCAGTAGTTGGGTTTAGGAACTTAGGATCTGTTTTCCCTAATTGTTCTTCTAAATTATTTGTGAAGTGATTAAATCTTTATTAATAAATGTTTAACTATTTATACTGGTAATTCAGATTGGCATACGAAGAGCTTTATCAATAATTTTATTCAATTTTATATAATAATATAATTAATAGTAATAAATTATAAACAGTGAACATTAAGATAGACTGTTGCAAATACAGCATTGTTGATTTGGTGGTATATGATGTTTTTTACTTGGACTAAAAAAATTTAGTCGTCTGGTTTACATGTATTTTATAATTGTCCAAGTCTAGTCTAGTCTTGTCTAGATCTGCACAAAAACGGGCTCGGGCCGGGCTTTTTATAAATTTTCTGCTCATCATGTGTGGGCGGGACCGGGCCACCCGGCCCGAGAAAACTTTAATTTTTTTTCAATATTATATAATTTTTTAATACTTTATAAATAATATTACTACCTTCGTCCCACAATGGTTGTCCACTTTCAATTTGGCCCGATTATTAATAAAGTGGTTGAAAAGTAAAAGTTGTGGTTGAGATTTGAATAGAATAAAGTGAATTGATAAGAACCATGTATTTCATGCCAAAAAAGGAAAGAAGACATTCATTTTGGGACAATCCAAAAGGGAAAGTAGGACAACCAAAATGGGACAGAGGGAGTACAACATTTAAAAAATTGCTAATACGCTTATAATGTATTTAGGCCTTTCACCACATACACAAAAAATACTTACACAAAAAATATAATGAGAAACTATATCTAAAATTTAATATTCAAGCACATAGTATTATCTTTAAGTACTAAAATATATATTATATTGATTGGACTAGTTGTTAAGAACTAAAAACTTAAATTTAAACATAGTTAACTACAAATATGTATAAAGATACACAAAAAATATAATGAGAAACTATATCTAAAGTTTAAATTTAAGCACAAAATATTATCTTTAAGTACAAAAATAGATATTATCTTGGTTGGGCTAGTTGTTAAGAACTAAAAACTTAAATTTAATTAACTATAAATATGTATAAAGATTAATTAGTAAATATAAATATACATGTGTACATGTAAATAAATAAATTAGTATATATATACATACATTTATATATAAATATATGTATATATACTAAATGTAGCGGGCCGGGCTTATTAGCCCGAACGGGCCTACACCCTAACCCAAACCCGCCCATATGTTATTGCGGGCCGGCCAGGCCCGGGCCGGTGGGTAAATATATATGCCCAAGCCCGCCTATTTGTGCGGGCGGGCGGGAACGGCCCAATTTTGTGCAGGTCTAGTCTTGTCTGATCTGTATTGGTCTGGGATTGAAAACAATCCAAGTAAAAATATTGATACTTCGTGTATGTTAATGCTAATATATTGTGATTAGTAGGTGTGAAATAGGTCAAGTGTTCGACATCCCCGGTTTGGATAAAACAATTTCAAATGGTCGGATTAAATCGTTAATGTAAGCTTGTCCAATTTCAAACACACTCCAACTTGAAAAAATGATTTATATATTTTAATCATATTTAGGGAATTTCAAGTTAATTGTTACTGCTAACACTATCAAAATCAGTCAATTTATGCTTCATTTGGATATGCTAAATCTATGAATCTAACTATCTAAGTTTGACAGAAAGTGTGAACCTAGCTTACCCAAATGCATATACAAAGTAATTGTTAAGATAACCAGGGTTTAATACTTTAATCTAGAGAAATGAGGTAAAATGTTATTTGATGGATCGTAGAATATACCAAAATGACTTATATATAACAGAGAACTTAGCATCTAACAGAGTATGAGGTTCAAATAACTATGTTATTGTGATTCATTCTCTAAGCTAAAATTATCTTTTTTAGAAACTAGGGAGATTCTTTTCATAATAAAATGATGTGTGGTTAGGGACCAAAATTGAACTCCAAATGACCTAAATCCACCTTAAAATATGTATTTAAATAGTCATAAATAGTTCAAGCTTAGTAGACATAAATCACTATCTTATCACTTTTGAACTACTTAAATAGTCTCGAAGATTTTTTAGTTGTATCACTGTATGTTTGGTAAACACTTTTCACAAGCTTTTGTAAAATTTTAAATTTCTTTAGTAAGAAATTACTCTTAGAATTATTACCTTCAGAGGAAAAGTCTATAATTTTTAACGTTAATTAGTTACAACAGCATATTATACCAATCAAGACTACATCGAATAGTCACCTTTTATCAAACAAAGTTATTTCCTTTTAAGAAATTTTTTAGTTAATAAAAGATACCCTTACTAAAATGTTTAAAATGTACAGAGTATCTTTTTTACTACTGTCAAACATGAACTTACGTAACATTAAGGACATGTTTACTTCACGAGTTACTAAATGATGCTTATTAAGACCCGCGTTAATAAGCGGCGCATAAAATAAGCAATGTTGTAAGATCGTGTTTACTTCACAGGGTTTAAAACACCGTTTAACATTAAAATGTCAAAAATAACCCTATACATATATAGATGCATAAACATTCATGTGGGGTCACCTCGTACATGCATGTACCCTACTGCTAACCCCTTACCCCGCCCTATACCCCCACGTACCCCTACCCTACACCCTATACCCAATTCCACACCCTTGACCCTACCCTACCCTACACGATAGGGATAGGTGGGGGTAGGATGGCGGTAGGGGGTGGGGTCGGGATCGGGGTGAGGCCGAGGTAGGGGCATGTGATGGGGGGTATGGTAAGGGATTGGGAGTGGGGTAGGGTCGTGGTTAGGGGTAAGGGTGGGGATGGTGGGTAGGGTGGGGTGGGGGTCGGGGTAAGATAGGGTAGGGGTAGGGGTAGTGTAGATGGAGATAGGGTGGGGTCGGGATCGGGGTGGAGCCGAGGTAGGGGGTAGGGGGTAGGGGTGGGTCGGGGTAAGGTAGGGTAAGGGTGGGGCGGGTATTGGGGTGCGCCGAGGTAAGGTAGGTTTGGGGTGGGGTCTGGGTGAGGTAGGGTAGGGGTATGGCAATAGGGTGGGGGTCGGGGCGGAACGTAGGGTAGGGAAAGGGGGTAAGGTACCAGGATGGAGGTAGTAGGTAGGGTGGGGTCGGGGTAGTAGGGTTGGGCGCAGTGGCGGAGCCAGAAATCTATGGTTGAAGGGGCCGGTCTTTAAAAATTTTACATTGCAGGGGCCAAAGTTTAAAATAACAACATATTTTCTATAGATTAAAAGTATTTATACATAATATATACTTAAGAATTTTTTTCTTGCAGGGGCCGTGGCCCCCTCCAGCCCCTCCCTGTCTCCACCCCTGGTTGGGCGGGGTGGGGAAGTGGGTAGAGGGGTAACAATAGTGTAAGGGCAAGGGTAAATTCGGAAACTAAAAAAGTTTAAAGTGCCGCTTAATTAATACATGAGGGGTGGTATGCTTAGTAAGTGGGACTTTAAACACCTCTTTCGATTAGTAAGCGGCTTTTTAAGCAGCATGCGTGTTTACTTCACCTGTCTTACTAACCTAACTGTGATTTTAGCAGCGAAGTAAACACTTCCTAAGTCATTAATGATTGGGAAGAAGTTAAACAAGGTCCTACAGTATAAAAGTCAAAGCAGTTGTTTCAAATAAGAATAAAACGAAATACATAAATAAGAGTATTCATGTTTAATCTTAAAATATGATCCATTGATTCATTTCATCCTACAACAACAACATCCAAACCTTAGTCCCAAACGATATTGGAGTCGGCTAACATGAATCGATACATGATATCAACAAAAGGAAAAGAAAGAAAATAAACATAAAAGATAAGCTATTATAAAAAAAAGATAATATAAAAGAGATGAATATACATATAAAAGATAAAATAAAAAGGATAAAGTAATATTTATATATAAGGATAAAAATATAAAAGAAAAACAAAAAAAAGAAGAAAAAAAGAGGGGAAAAGATGATACAAGATCACTCCTCCACACGAATACCCGCCCTCCATTTTGCTCTCTCCAAAGTCATACCCTCATCCAATCCAAGAAGAAGCATATCACTTCTGACTCCCCTAACTCACGTCTGTTTGGGCCTTCCTCTCCCTCTCTTCCCTGCCTCTTCTCCACACATCTCAACACGTCTGACAGGTGCATCACTCGGTCTTCTATGCACATGACCAAACCACCGTAGGCGCGACTATCACATCTTATCTTCTATAGGTGCTACTCCCACCCTTTGTGTGATTGTCTCATTCCTCACGCGATCCTTTCTAGTATGCCCACACATCCAACGCAACATGCGCATCTCTGCCACACTCATCTTTTGAATGTGACATTGTTTCACCGCCCAACACTCCGTGCCATACTCATCTTTTGAATGTGGCATTATTCATTTCATCCTAAAAGGGAATAAAAGTATATAAAACTGACGAGGTAGGAAACAAGAGGATATTTTGACCATTATGATTAGACGACTTTTGCTTGGACTTGTAAGGAGGAATATTCGTGATACAATAGTTATGGAAGGTCCTATGAACAATCCAGCAAAGAACTAATTCATGCATCACAAATTGACCAAGAAACAACATCATGTGCCCAACATGTGATGCGATATGCATATCACTTTAGTTCCATACCAGTACCGGACTACCGGTAGTGTTCCAAATGGATGTCTGTTCAGTTATGGAAAGATCCATAACCACTAACCAACTTGGACCAGTTTTGAGCATTAGTTCAAAATTCAAATCAATGTTCTAAAAGGCACTAGGCGCTAGTCGGACGCCAACACAATGCTTAGCACCTAGGCGGCTAGGCGGGCGGCTAGGCGGGCGGCTAGGCGGGCGGCTAGGCGGCGATTAGTCGGAGACACATAAATTGTATTTTTATCAATATCATTGCATAAATATGATAAGTAATACATCCTGATGAAAAGTATATACACACACATTAACATGCATGGATGATAGAATTGTCACATGCAGTAAGTATGATAACTAATCACTTAATTGCATTATCTTATACTCCCTCCGTCCCCCTAACTTTAACCCATTTTACCTTTTTCGTCCGTCCCATTAAGTTTGTCTCATACTATATTTGGTAATATTTGGGTGGTTACAATTCATCCTTACTTTATTCACACTTTATCAATTTAATATCAATCACACAATAACACTTTTTCTTGAAAGTTGTGTCACCCACTTTGTCCCAAACATAGTGAGACGGAGGTAGTAAATATTACTCTATCCGTCCATGTATAAAAGGCACATATTGAATTGCACACATCATTAGGAGGAATACTGTTCAACACTGTTTGAACATTGTTTTCACTATTTTGCATTGTTTTGTTTGCCAAAAAAGGAAATGAACCTTTTATAATTTATATATGGACAGTCCAAAAAGGAAAGTGTGCATTTTATATAGGGACGGAGGGAGTAAATAATAATAAAATTTAAGTGTACATACAAACATATATAGTTTTTATCTTAATTTAAAAGTATCTTTCTCCATAAAACCAGACCTGGACAGACATCCATTTGTTCAAATCCGGTCCCAAAGAAGATATTTTTATTTGGACTATTTTCAATCTCATACCAGAACTGATCAGACCAGACTTTGACAGTTATAAAATACACAGAGACTAGACATTTACAACACCAGAGTAGACCAATTCAGACCAGACTAGACCAATTCAGTCCAGAGCAAACCAGAAATTTCAATCCATTTAAAAACATTCAAAAACACTTCTCGTTCAGGTTGTTCACCCACCCAGTTCCGCAACTGGGTAGATAGATTCAGACTCAAGTTCCTCACTATTGCAGTAATAACCTCCCGCTAACATGACTACCCTAGTGTTCTAAGATTTATTCTTTAATTCTTATTCGATCACTTTATGAACAAAATAACAATTCACCTTCAGTCTTTTGTAAAATTAGTACTCCGTATTAGTTTTACAAGTTTACTAATGTTTCTAAAATTAGGGTAGTTGATCAAAGGACTATAGTAATAATCAATGAGTGCGATCTTCAGTTAAGTAGATAGCTATCGTTCTATATTCAAGCCTGTAAACTAATAGAGCACAAAATTGATTTACAATGCTTATTTTCAAGATATGAAAAGCATAGCCAAAAAGTAATATTTACAAAAGTGACTTTGGAGCAACCCAAACAAACTATGGTCTCAATCTTTTGAAATCATAAACAGGTAAAATAAATTAGGCAAAACTTAATCCTAAGTGAACAAAATTGTACACAAAATGTTGGATTGATGCATTCCTCTTGAAAGGCAACTATTGTATCCACAGTTACTTGTAATTTGAAACCAATTAATCTGTATGAACCTGAAAACAAACATCAAAAGAATTTAATTCCCAGCCATAAACCTGGACATAAGATTTAAAATAATAATAATAATAAAATAAAAAAAGATTATGTCCACAAACCTTTTTCAGCTTTAGTAGATGAGTCAATCTTCCCCCAAAAAAATTGTTTACTTGTATGGTGCAAACAAAATGGATGAGTTTTGGCCACCAAATCCAAATGAATTAGACAAAGCTACCTTAATATCCAGTTTCTCCTTTTTAGAGCCCACAAGAAACTTTGTGTCCTGTTTTGTTGCAGGACGCTGTTAATCAGACAGCTTATGACCAGTAACTAATGCTTGTAATGAATACGGAAAACAATTAATCTGATATAATACACTGAAAAGCCACATTACCACTTGAGAAAAATGATGAAAAGGATAACTTATATAAGAATTCATACCACCCCTTCATCCGGGTTATCAAGATTGATATTTGGATGAATCCACCCTGTCCGAATTGCCTGCAAGTATGCACATCATTTTTAGAGTGATAGGCTCTTCATTGGCAAATAATATACAGCACTAGGTGTTTTACAAAATAGTTGATAAGCCAGCTTCTAATTACAAAATAACAAAAACGATATGTTTAAATGAATGAAAAAAGGTTAGAAGTATAATAATAACAAAGTAGTGAAAATTATATCTATATGAAAAGAAACTTATCAAATGAACTCGATCCAATCTAAAAGCTCCATAACCAAACAAAACTGTTTTTAATCCCGTTAGGCATACCACCAAAATTAGTGGAGTAATTGCCGGAAAACATTTACCAAAATTTTATTAATAAAAAATAAAATACAAGAGAGAGGGGGGCCAAACCAAAACCTCTCCGAAGATGGCACACCATCCCGAAATAAACAAACAAAAATTATTCAAAAAGATTGTTCTAAAAAAGACATAGTAATACAGATTATAAGTTACACTATTTTCGAATTTCAAAGTTTTGATCAATTATCAGGAAATTGATTCTATAGAAGGAATCATAAAGAAATAATGTAATACAAAATGTGTTACTACTTACTAGAGTCCAAAGTATAATTGACATCTTATTACCACATATAAGCAAATTGACATATATTTCCACTCTGTATATTTGAATTAAAGTTACATTGTAATATGGTTTAGGTTGTACATGAGAATATAACATCAGAATTTGGAAATAATTCCAAATATATAACCAAAATAAAAGTAATGGACAAAAATGTGACTCTAGTAACTTTAGTGACTATAATTGTATTTAAATGTTACGTCGTAGTGACTATATTAAATCTTACATCATAGTGACTATAAAGCTTACTCATTATAATTTATAGTCACGTTTTTGTGATTTTGTCCATAAATTTTTTATTAGTAATATTTTAGGAAACACCTCTAGAATTTGAATGATTAATATATAAGAGTTTAACATATGTAATTAAAAAAAAATAGTAATGTAAATACAAAAAGATTAATCTTCATAATTAAGTAGAAGTTCTATTTATTAATAAACCTCTTGAGTTTACAACTATTCCAAAAATAAAAAAACATTGTTGGTGCCTCACTGGTGATGGTCCAGGAAGTATGTTTTTTCACAGTTTTCACATGCATGACAAAAAGTAAGATGCTAATATTTCAATAGAATACTTTGTATCAAACTATTATTTTATTTAAGACCTAGTGTGTATTTTCATTGTAACTTTGTATGTTATTTAGTTAATGTCATTGTCATGTAGCACAGGTGCTATACTAGTTTTTTAAGGAAATATATGAAAGATTAATTTTACCAAGTAAATTATAACTTTGTCCAATTGAACTTTGAATTATATCAGAATACATACATCTTTAACTTGCAGCATGGGTACTATACTAGTTTTTTAAGGAAAGAAATGATAGATTGATTTTCAAAAGTACTACGTAAATTATAAATTGGCTAAAGGGTCAAATAGGCCCTTGAACTAACTTAAAGTGTTCAATTAGCCCCATATATAGGAGGTTCAACCCGGCCATCTCTAATTGGGGAGGTTCCATATCAAATTTCAGCTAAAAATTAAATCGCGAAGGCAGTCAAATGATTTTCCGAAATGTACTGCGTTGTTTAACTGCGCAGTTATCTTCAAAAAATCATTTGACTGTCTTCTCGGTTGAATTTTCAGCTAAAATTTGGTATGGATAAACTAGACTTAATAAAAAATGAAAATGATGAAATTTACATTTTCCCAAGGTCGTGAAGCTCTAGTAGGATCATTATTTCTCCGAGAAAGTGCTTTGCAAGCAATAAATCCACCCACTCCTGAAATAGAGAAATATGAAACGTGGCGTACAATGGTACAACCATAACTAGCCAAATCATTATATAATTCCAGGAAAATTGGTGTTTTACCCTACTATTTAATTGTGCATCCCATACTTTGTGTTTTAGGATGTTCACCCTAGATTATCCCAGGGTGGTGTGAAAAGTAAAAAATAAAGGTAAATCATGATGTGCAAAGTTCAACAAATGGGGGAGCAATGTCTAATGGAAAATGACCGGCTCTGGGATGTTCTTGGATGCATTAATGCATGCAGAATGCAAATTCTTCAATACTTGCAAACACATAAGACAGTTACCAGTTGGTGTAATTGCAGAATCAGATCCACCACAAAGCATCACATCCTTCAATTTTTTAGAGCATTAAAAAATATAAAATTCAATCCTTCAAGATATATTCACTGCTTCAAAGAGCATAAGGTAATACCACTATACCAGTAAACGCTTATGTCATATGTTTACTTACAGCGTCAGTGCGTCACCTTTTATGATGTGGTTCGCAGCATTCACAATGCAAAAGTTACCCGTTGCACATGCAGTCGATATTGAATCGTTTGGACCCATCCAGCCCTGGATGTATAAATTATAAAAACTTCAAAAACTCGATCACTTGTAGCAGGTTGAACAATCAGTTAATCGCACTTTAAAAAGTTGGTTAAGTTAACTACCAAATCAATAGAGAGAATGGCAGAACCCATGTTTGTAACCGAAAATGGTACACAGAAGGGGTTCATCTTCTTGTAGGAGATCTGCAAGGCTTCTATTGCATCACTGAAAATCTGCATAAAAGAAATACGGAGTATTAAATAATTAAACTATTTAAAAGTTGTAAAGATTAGTGAATAACTGAATATCTGGTTTCTTGAGAATGAGTCATTCATCTGAAAATCTGCAAAGGCATGTGTACTTCACTCTTAAATAAAACATCGATTCTTTGAGCAAACATTAAGATAAGTCAAACAAACCGTTGTGAATTTTTTAGTCATTCATTCAATCAAAATATAATACCAAAAAATAATATACATTATTAAAACATGCAACAAAATAAACAACAAATCTCTGTATGATCAACTGAATTTTCGAACATTAATTTGAAGAAAATTACCTTCATTCCACCCATAGCAGAGTCAATCAAAATTCCACACCTCGTCTTGTCCAATCCACCCATCACATCATCTGTAATTCCACCATCAAGTAATGCTTTCTTTCCTGCTATCAGCAAGAAAAGCATAAACCTCTCCAATCTTTGTGAAAGTTTAGGTGAAACACAGCCATCTATGGAGAAAGACTTGATTTCTCCAGCAATTCTCTGCAATGCAAAATTATTGCTACTAACAGAAGGATAAGATTTCAATAAGAAGAGTTGTGAAGAAAGAGCATACTGTTGAGTATTGGGAACAATCAAAAGCTTCGATCTCATTAATGCCACTAACACCTTCAAGTAGGTTTCCATAAAACTCATTGGGTTCATGACCAAGAGGAGATACAACACCCATACCAGTCAGAACAACTCGTCTTTCTTTGATAGAAGATTTCTCCTTTGAAACAATATCATTTGCATGATGTGTAGCAGTGCCTAATACTTTCCCTGGACCACATGAGTGGTGAAATTGTCATTTTTAGTTGGTGATTAATGTCATAGCAATATGACACAAGGAAATCAAGAGAAATTATTTGTGACCTGCAAACTACACCTTCCATCCCTTAATAAAGTTTGTGCTTTCACCTTTATGAAGTTAAAGGAACTCTGCAGTTTTTAAATTTTTTATCCTTTTATCTTTTCATTTTTATCTTTATCTTATCTTTTTATCTTTTTAATTTATCTCCGATTTCATAAATCATATGTCAATTTATGTTAGCTGACCCCAAACTCTTTTATACTAGTGAACTACAGCTTGAATGTAGTTGTTGGTGTTACTATTTTGACACTATATACATACTGACTTATTGTTATTCGATGGTAGTAAAGTAAATTGATAAGATTGTTTCACCAAAAACAGATATTTTTACTTAAAGACGACCAAAGAAGAAACACATGGACTTTAAATAGAGATGGAGAGAGTAAAATGAAACATGACAAAGCTCTACTGACATTATATATTATCTAAAGTTCACACTACCAATAACACCTAAAGGGTATTTTAAATGCCCAAATAAACTACTTGTCGACCTATATTACAGTTTTGATCTGCATAATCAAAACCGTGAAAGTTCAATTTAACTTCAACTCCAATAGAGTAAATTCCCAAATAACTTTAACTCCAATTTAACAGCAGTATGTGATTACCAGGACGATTAGAGATATTGCATTGGAAGTGTCTAATCAGAAAGGCATACTTCGAAGACCCAAATAAAGAAGAGAAGCCATTACGAGCAAATTTGGATGTGGAAATCCAGGCAGAGAATCCGGAGCTAGTGCGATTTAGCGCCGCTATGGAACCCCTTCTCGGTTTTCCAGCACTGCCAATCCGGGAATAATCATACACTGATTTGCATTCCAGATTCAACAAAATTGAACACCGGCCGATTCGCGACTTCGCATTGCCCTTTACGAAACCAACCGGACCGCATGCAGCCATTAGCGGTGGCGGCATCGTCGAGGATCCCATCTCCTTCTCCTCTCTCTGCTTCCCAGCAACCAAGCGCAGGCTCTTACTCTTTGCTCGCGTGAAGTATATAGTACAACAGCAATGCAACAAGGCGAGAGAATGATTGGGTCTTAATTTCGTACCCAGATCAAATCAATTGAAGAAGATGAAGAAGCATTGATATTGAGAGTAGTATAAATGATTAAAGGGATAAGGGTCAGTTTGGTCCTCGAAGTTGCAAGAAAGGGGTCAAATAAGTCCTTATATAGAAAATTCTGTCCGGATGTGCCATTTGAGGTGGCTCCCGGTGGAATTTTTTGATGAAATTTTTTGAGCATCTTATTCATTAAGTCTAGTTTACTCATACCAAATTTCAAATAAAAATTCAATCGGGAAGACATTCAAATGAATTCTTGAAGATAATTGTGTCGTTAAAAGCACAATTATCTTCATAAATTTATTTGAATGTCTCCCTGATTGAATTGTTAGCTGAAATTTGGTATGAGTAAACTAGAATTAATGAATAAGATGCTAAAACAATTTCATCAAAAAATTCTATCGGGAGCCACCTCAAATGGCACGTCCGGACAGAATCTTCTATATAAGGACTTATTTGACCCCCTTTTTTGCAACTTCGAGGACCAAACTGACCCTTTACTCAATGATTAAATGGGATTATAGTTATTCTTCTTCTCAAACGAGAAATAGGAGACGAAAAAGACGGAGTGTTGTGTGGCTAGTGCTGAAATGCAAGTCCATTTTACTGCGAAAAACGGGAGAGATAAATTCTCATGTGCGATATTCATGTTGTACTCTTCATAAGATACGTAATTACGTATCCCTTGTTTTGTTAAATAGAGTTTTTCAACTTTTAGTTCTGACAATTATTGACATTTTTTATAATTGATTTTGATTGTTTTCACTTTTAGTCCTCGTCTATTATTCTAGAGACATTGTTTATACTCGTCTTTCAAAATTTTCATATATAATTGTTCGACTTACATAAAAGTGACATTTTTTATTTTTCAACTATTATAATAACAATATTTTTAGTCTTCCACTTATTATGTCAAAATCCTAATGAGGATTTTGAAGTGTAAATATCAGAATACCCAGAGGACTAAATGTGGAAAATTTTGAAGTCGAGGACTAAAATCGCCTCCAGCACAATAGTCAAGGTCTAAAAATGGAAAAGTTAAAAGTTGAGTACCAGAAATGTCATTAACACAATAGTTGGGGGACCGAAAACGGCAAAAATTCAGTTCAAATATGACCAGGGATATTTTTAAGGTGAAACAGAAACAGATAATTTCACCCCTTTCAGCAGTCAAAAATGCATGGTGTACGTGATATTTTACACGCTTGTGTACACCGCATATAAGCCCTATCTTTTAATTCAAAACCTCTTCACGTGCGCGAGCTTATCTTCAAAAAAAATCTCGCCAGCCCCAACAACTTCCCTTCCTAGTTGCCCATATGTCTTTTTTTCCCTTCTCTTTCCCGCATCCCCACATAAAAATGTAGCAGAATCTCATGGTTCAACCACCCACTCCCTCCTTCGACAGTCATTCACCGTCAAATTCCTCTCTCCCTCAAAACATTTGTCCGCCCTTGAACTTCAACCCACGAAACCCATCCCCCCCGCTCGCCGTCTACTTCAACTCACAAAACCCATTCGTCCTTCTGTACGTTCTTCGAGTTCAGCACGTACGTCTATGTTACAGGTTTGTGTACCGTCCTTGGAGTTCCTATTGAACGTCTTGAAGTTCATTGCAATCGAACACTCGTGTACTTCAACACCGGCTACAACCTTTGAAGAACAGAAGCAAACAGGGCTAATGAAGAAAATGGTGCTCACAACATTGAATGAAATGGCACAAAGGTAAATTTATGTTGAACCAACACATTATGAATCCCCTTTTTACGGACATGTACAATAACCTATTTGTTCTAAGTTAAGTTGGTTTGTTGGTATGGTTTTGAGATGTTTTCCGAGTTTTGAGATTTGAGTGTGCTTTTTAGATGCATGTGTGGTTTGCAGATGTCTGTATGAATTTGAAATGTCTTTGTGCCTTGCTTATTGAATTCATAGTAATCTATGATGGGTTGGTGTGTCGTTTGATAGTTCTTCTTGTAATTCAAAGTTGTCTTTATACACTGAGATGTCTGTGTTTCAGCCTTTCAGGCACATATGTGTGCACATGTTTTAGGGAGTGTTTGCAACTGCTTCTGCTTAAAAATAAGTTTTTTTTCTAATGAAATTGAAAAAGTGATGAACTGTATAAGTTGATAGTGTTTGGAAAATAAGTGATTTTACAACAAGGTGTTGAAATTGGAGTATTTGGTAAAAAAGTGATTATTGATGTAATTTTTATTAATGTACAAAAATGCCCCTCTTTCATTAAACCTTTTATCACTTCCACGTATTTCGTTATATCCTCGTTCCTTCTACGCAGAGCTGCGGAAATGTCAACTCCAAGACGTCGAAGAGCAGAGCTAGGGTTGGCCAAACCAAATCCTTCGAAACTGGATACGTTAGATCCGAACATTGGCTCCATTTTACACTCATATAGTTAGGTCTTGTTCTTTGATTGAGCTTTGTCCTATAAACGCACGGAAATGCCGGAGGGTTGAAGTTTCCCGTATCAGAAACGTACTAACATTTCCGAACGGATTAAACGGAGAATACGCGTCCCCACCCCCCCCCCCCCCAAAAAAAAACAGAGCTTCAGAATTGTTTTGACCAAGTCTCCTCTAGTTAAGTCTTTTCTTTATTGGAGTGTTTGGCTTTGCTACTGCAATTTGGGTCTTCTTTGAATGGCTGGAGTACCATTGGAGATTGTTCTTTCGTTTATTAGATTTGTTTTGTGACAAAAAAAACTAGGAAGCTGAACCAATCAAAGTATCAAACATAGGTAGAATTAAACCTCTAGGAGATTACGACTTAATTCTTTCTCCTTCTGCGAATCGGACTCCTGGATTGCTGGTTAACTTCTTCTCTTATGGGTCGGTGCTGAGATTTGAAAGTTGAAACTTCGTATGTAGTTGGTGGGGGATAAAAAAATCAAATGAATATAAGTGATGATGATGTGGTGTCCATTAAAGGTGTAATTTGTGTTGGCGGCCAGCATGTACTTATTTATTTTGGTGAATTATTCACTTTATAATTAATGTGTTGGTGTTGTGTTTTATGTTATGTTATGAATTAATTATTAAATGATTAAAATATGGTGAGTTATTATTATTTGGGAGGAAAAGGGCCAAATAAGCCCTCCTACTATTCTGAAACAATCAACTAAACTCATCTACTTCAAAAAGGGTCACATTAACACGTTTATTATTTGTAAAGAGTCTAATAGGTCCACATGACCGAAACATCACCCTTGATTCCCAGTAAAATATGATGTGGACCTATTCATTTGCCATGTGTGGATTTTTTTCCACGTCAGCCCCCAGTGGCCTTTTAACACAAGGTGCAAAATACGGATTTCGTTTATCACCGTTCAATTAAAAATTAGAGTTCTTCGTCATGCTTCTCAAGCTATCTTCCTCGTCTATCTTCCCGGTCGGGTCATCTGCGAGAAAGTTCAGAGATTGAACTCATGGTTGTTGAAGGAGACCGTATGCATATAGAAGTTCAGAGTTTTGGGATTTGAATAGAGCGAAAATAAAGAGCGACCCTCTTCAGAAAGCTGAGGTAAGTGACCTTAATGATTTTTTTAGTTACAACTGATTCATAATGGTAATATTTGAGTTTGTAATACCTTGAATTGTACCTCCTGAGTAAAACCTCGTTGGTAGTTCAATTCGTAATACCTTAAATTTAGGGTTAAGTATGAAGTTGTTGTCCTTGTTTTGTATTTATTTTACGTTTAAATAAAAATGCCTTAACATTTTGAATTGTAATATTTATTTTCAGAATGTATGAAGTAGCAGATTTGAGAATTCATCATGGCGGAAATTTCCAAAAAAAAAACTCAACTTTCTTATGTCAATGGTGAAGTGGGTACTATTAGGTTGGACCCGGATTTGATTTCATTTCCTCATCTCATGAAGTTTATCACTCAGGAATCATATAAAAAGGTGGAATCTTTATCTTTCAAATTACATGAAGAGAACTTCACCAAATTAAGACCGTTATGCAATGATGCTTCAACCTTAGAGCTAATAGATATCGTTGTGAACTGGGGCACATACAATTGATATTTTTGTGGAGCATGGAATAGATGAGCCTGATCTCATTCCACTCTTACCTACGCCTTCAATTGGGGAAGTGAACCGAGATGTGCAGGGTGAAGTAGAGATAACGCCAGTAATGCAAGAGGAAAATAGAGAAATGGAAAGAGATAGAACTGCAGAGGGAGAACTTAGTGATGCTGAGATGGGTTGGGTAAAGAACAACACTAATAATGCAGATTTGGAAAGTCAGAGTGAGGATGATGACTCTGATTGCAGCGTGTATAATGACTCAGATGATCCCCCCCAGTTCTGTCGCGGACACTGAAGAAGAGGACTGCGTATCTGAGGAGCATCCCAAACGGAAGAAGACATTGAAGAAGCCATGTTTTGATCCTAAATCTGAATCAGGAGCTGTGAATGGCAGAACAACTCTTTCCAGAAAAGGAAGAGTGATGACATGTTCTAATTGCAAGGTGGCGGGCCACAGTAAAGCCAAATGTCCCGATAAAACCACAGATTCCCAACCTAAACAAAGGAAGAGAAGAGAAGTCACAAAAGAAAGACCAAGGAAAAGAAAGAAGCGGGCTGAAACTGCAGAGCTGGTATGTGCTATGTGAATTATCTGTAATTTCCTTTTTTTTGTTTGGCTTGACTTTTTTGTACTTGTAATGTGTGCAGGACGGTGATTCCAATGAACAAGCCCTACCTGGTGGAGGTGTTCAGGGCAGTGAATCACAAGAGCAAGGGGATATAACACGTGGTGGCTGTGAGTATTTGGATGTGGCTGGTGGTGGCTGTGAGCAGTGGGATGTGGCAGGTGGGGGCTGTGAGCAGTGGGATAT